AACAACTCCCAAAGTAACATAATACTTGGCGGCGCCTTAGCCGGAAATCGGAATCTTCGCACAGAATGCGCGTTGCGGGGACTCCCCCGCCTTCTCCTATATGCCAAAAATGTGTTTCAGTTTTACCCTTGTAACTGTAACCGTTTCAACGCTTACAGTGGTAGTTCCGTGCACCGAACAGGATTTTACTTGTCGCGTGGAAACTTTCTTCCTCCTTTCTGATACCCTTTCGTCCGCCGACGACTTCTTACACTGCATCAATGCTTCAGTCTTCTTCTTTGGTGACTCATACTTTCCTAAGTTTTCGAATTTTTGTTTCGTTGCTGTATCCTTTTTCTGTTCGTTCTTCCTTCCCCCAAATGAACCTGACTTTCTCTTCAACTCTTCCTCCTTCCCTCGCAATCCATTTGTGTATGTTGTCTACAATTTTTGAAACTCATTAAGCTTAAGTGACTGACCGATCACATCATGCATTCAGTGTTGGTGACGTATTACTACTGCAAGTTAACCATAAATAGTTTACAGCATTCAACAAGTTTTTGATTTATTAAAATCCTTAAGCTTCATTAAAATTTGAATCGATAGATTTTTTGAAAGTTATCATTCCATTGCTTTCCGAATAGAAATATCATGCATGTAACAACAATATTCTTCGTAATGTAATTACTACCCAATGTTAATTACTAAAATTTTGGGTGTTTAATAGTGAAGTGCAGCAAATATGGATAGGTGTTAAAGACCAAGATATCATTGTCTGTTAATATCACAGGAAACTTTTTCAAGAGGCCTACTTCTGCTGAAATCGACAAACCATTGTAAAATTGCTTGGTGACAAGTGGAATTGAATAACGTCTCACAACCTTGTGGGTACGAAAACAATAACCTGACCGCGTTTATTGCAACAATTTTATAGAAGAACACATTATTGCATTATTCATGGCAAGCATCTACAAATGAAAATTTATGGGAACTTCCATCTTCCACATATAAAACGAACTTGTTGAAATTTAAAAGTTGAAACTGAAAGTGGTTGAATTTGCGGAAATAAGAGAGCTTTTTCTCAGGCAGTTTCTCTTCGCTGAAATAAAATTGATACATCTCAAATTGTAATATCATCTGTTTCATCTGTTCGTAAGATGTTAAATTGTTAAACCTTGTGCATATTCAGGAAATAGGTAATTAAATGGATTGAATAGAGTCTAGATGTTTTTTTCTTCTGTATAGGATAAATGTTTTGATTTGGTTAGGGAATTTCGAAAATGGATCGTAAATGAAAGATTTCCAATTCGGAGCGGAATTTGTGGTCAAAAATTAGTGGATATAAAAAATGAAACAGTTAATTTTTACTTGAAGGCACAAGATGGATTATCAGGGATCAATGAAGACGTTCACATCTATAAGTAATGTGACAAAATAAGTGATGGTTGAAAAAAACTACTGGCACAGCATATTGAGGATTTGTATACATAAAGGTAGGATTTTTATAGTTTAAAGGCCTTTAAAAGTAAAACATAAATTAATTGATAATTGCAAAAAAGATAATAAAAGGGATGAAGCTTTTGAAGCCCATATTTTTTTTCATTTGAGTGGAACGATTGGACTAAGCAACATTTAGGTTAGATTTTAACTTCCAATAAAACCATTTTGAAAAGACTCAATATCAATCTTATCGGCTTCGATATTACGTCTTTTTCATGTAGCTCACCTGCTAAGAATTAATTTCAAATTTTAATTAGAATTGAAAATGAATTATGCGATGAGAATAAAGTTTAACAGAATATCTGAGGAGAATGAAAGATTGTTAATGGAAGCGAAAGAGAAGAGACATACGATTGGTTTTAAATAGTTTTCAATCATTTTTTCAACTAAAGTCTGTTATTAAATGTAAACATATAACTAAGCAAATTCTTAAGATAAACTATAATCTTTGATCTTGAGTTCTATTATGTCATGCGGAAAACACATTTCTAATAGATACGATAACATAACGGTGCACTGCTGATATAAGAAAGTTATAATTAGCTGTACATCTCATCTCGACAAATTAATACATCATCATGGAATAATTAATATAATAACCAGAATAACTTTCTAATATTAATATAAGTAAATAAGGAATAATTAATATAAATAAGGAATAATTAATATAAGTAGTTTACTTTCCTGCAAATTGTATCTTTTAATTAGACTGTTTTACCGTAATTATTTAGAACTATCTTAATCCCTGACTTTTAAACTTGATCTGTAGGACTTCCTTAAATCTAAAATTCCACGTAAATAAATAACGTTCATGCATTGCTAATGATTGTCAACTGTAATTAAAAGAACTAATGCTCTCATCTTCAAAAGACAAAAATTATCTATTTACTTGCCATGAAATACTAAAAACGTTTCATTTATTAAAAAACTTTATTTATATCTGACTTTTCCCTGTTGTAAACCGATTATGTCTCAAATTCAAACTTGAATTTACATTTTAGGAACTGCAAAAGACATCATGCTGTCGCTGTTGTGGTTGATCAAAGGACTGCTTTCACTTCGATAATCTTTTTCGTCGTTTCTGCAGCATCAGCCAATGAAACATTGCCATCCCTAAATTATTTATTAATTTTGACAAATTTGTGTTCATTTGTGAAATGACTGGATTAAAGCACCATTAAAGCTTAATAGAGCAAAATGCTGAACCGTGCGGAAATTTCATTTGAAACGCTATTTTTATTGCCATCATTGTTAGCAGCAGTATCAGGTACAGTTTGTTTCCGGCGGAATGCTTCTTTGCTGTGAACAAATATTTTATGCCGTTCCAACTCATCCGATGTCCGTCCCCTGCAAAAAATGTATTTTTGGAAATCATACTACTCTTCTTTTTCTTCCTCAACATTATCTTCATTTTGCTCAGTTTCAATTTCAACATAAGACATTTCATTTCAACTCCTCCATATAGCTTTTTATTCAAGAATATTTCAAATTTTGAAGTAAAATAATCACAACGATTTAGTTTGAGTGCAATAAAAGATCAATAAATAATTACAGAGTTTTCAGATACTCAATAATCTTTTATATACTTGAAATGAATTCCCTTTATGCGAATGGGCTTTGAAGGAAATCGCAAAAGTTAACAAACTGCACTGACTGATTCTCCATAATCATTACTCATCTTTTCATGCAAGAAATGGCTAATTAATTGATAATTTTTGTATTAAAGGAAAATTACTGCTCTCACAAAATAATACCTATAACCACACTTCGTGCATTGAAAATTGAATTTAGCTTGAGGATATCGTGAGTAATGTGTTCGTGATATACCAGTAGCAGCATAAGCAACGCGATCTACATCCTGTACATGACGGCTTATATGTTTTTCCAACATCGCCGGACTTTTCGATACGTGGCGACAAAATGGACACTTGCGTGAACCTAACGAAATGTTGAACTGAATCGCCCCTCGTCATTTGTATCATTCCAAGAATAAACAATCAAGCTACTAGAATTTTATTTAAATTACTGAAGAAAACTGACGAATGATGACAAGCGACAGAACTTGACAAAACAAGAAATGCCAGTTTTTGTTTACAATGTGAAAGAACGACCAAAAATACCTAAATCGATATTGTCCGGTAAAGGAATATGATGCCGGTAATACTTATGGAAATGGATGTATCGTGCTTCGCGTGTCCTAAACGGACAACCTTTTTCGTCACATTTAATAGGTGAATTACGATGATATATAGTAACATGGTATGATACCGAATTGTAACGACCGTAAACTTTGTGGCATACTGTACACATGTAACCGTTTGCTACTTGCTCGATATACTTCTTATTACGACACCAACCTGAAATCAAACATATCAAAAGATTTCAAGCTTCAGCCGCTCACATTGCGAGTTTGTGTAAAAATTACGTGTTAACTTTTGAAACATTTGAGCATTCTGGATTGAACTTGGAATCATGCAAAAGATTTCAACCTTCCTTGTCACTTGATGGAAGGATAAGCTCACTGAATCTTTCGGCATTTACCGGTTGTCTTGTCGAGATCGATTCTTTCGATGATGCGCTAAAACGAATACTCGGTCTCAACTGACTTAAAGAAAATTAATTTAAGGTTAACAACAGAGTTGGAAACAAAACAGTAGCATATGTCATTTGTTTTCGAACTCAAAACAGAGCTCAAATGAAGAAAGTTAATCAAAACTATCAATATTTCCAATCTGTCAGAATGTGAGAATGAATTCATTTAATTATAGTAATCATTTAATTAATATTTACCCAGCCAATTCGTTGTTCATCAAATCATTTTTAGCAGAGATTTTCGAAGATTTTTGAACTTCCTTTCTCATTGGTATTGACAAGTAATGTCGGTGCTTTGTCAAATTAATTGAGTTCGAATTTACTGCAAGTTTAAATGTGGTCTTGATAATTATTCGAATATTTGAAACACTATAAGCTTATCGTATTTATTACAGACAATTATTAGTTACTTAAACGAGCTATTGATTGTGACTCATTCCGCTACTGACTCATTGATTCATTCCTTTTAATGCAAAAGTAGGCGGCACAGGAAGTAAGACATACGATAATTATTAACTAGAAATAAATGAAACTGAAATTCCTGGGGATATCCTAAATAACGCATACTTTTTAGATTAGAATGAGAGGTCAATATGATAAATCAACTTGGGAATAAATGCTTACTAGCCATCATATTATGATGCTTTGTAAAACAACTACTTCCATCAAATTGTATAGACAGGAATAATTTTACAAGTTCCGCCACTTGCATTTCTACCATTGGAATTTGACAAATCCGAGATACTTGTAACACCTACAAGAATAAATTAAGAAAATGATTTGCTGCCGAAAAAGCGAAATCTTGCATGAAGAAAACAGAAGTGCTTTGTAAAAGTGAAATATTAACATATATCAAAATTAAAAGTCATGCCTGAAACGGATGTACAGTGCCAAATGCAAGAACTCCGGTATAAAGATACCGTAGAATAACCCTAAAAGCTTGTCCAGCATTGGCAGTAGTACCAAGATGAAGTTCAATTGTTGGTATATTCTGTAAGATGCCATTGTTCCTGTCGATTGAATAAACTCCGTTGAGGATCAATTCACGAATATGCAACGAAAAGAATGCTAGTAGGAATTTATTTCCTAATACTTGCTCTTCTGAAAATTTAATTTTACACCTTCCTCTTGAAATGAATTTCTGGCTTTTTTAAGCTAGATTTTCCGCATTGTTTACGTTTCTTTTTTAAACTTCACTTAGTATATTTAAAATTTCATTTTTTAATTTTTATTTTTTGAAGTCCAAAAATTTTCAAAATTGCAGCTGAAACTCATGCTAAATCCTAATGAAATGAAAAAAGAATACCATTTCTATGTCCGTTGGTTAGATCAATCGTTACGATACGTATGCAAATATCATTGAAGAATGGTGGTTGCATAAATGCACTGATAGCTTGCTGAAGCTGAGCTTCTTTCTCTCTATCCAGACCACTGCCATCCGAACTGTCACACATCTTTGAATAGGATTTGTTCCTCCCTAGAACAGTATCCTTTTTCGTGAAATTTATAAATTGTCCTCAAATTTTACGCATATTAGAAAATTAGCTATTGGACGATCGAAATAGCCATAGGTTTTAAGCCTTAATTTGTAGAAGTGACACTATAATGATATTTAGTTATAAGATCATCTGATGTAAATCTCCTGAAAATGATAGAACTGGAGGAAGTTAGTTTGAGATTAACACTGGGATAAGATTTCAAATTTTTGATTATTTCTTGAAATTATTCTATTTATAAGCCTGAGTAATCTATCATAACTTGGCATACCATCGCTAAATGCTCTTATTTACTCACAAATCCAAGTCATATCATAATTCTATCAAAATCGGAAAGTTAGTTCTTTTTTTCTAAATTTGGCATCCTTCCCACAAAATAATACATATACGCATTGCTCTTTTTAGAAAATACCACTGGAACCAAAATTGATAAAGCATCGAACTTTTTATTAATTTCACATGACCAGTGCTTTGAAATGTCATCATCTCCCCTGGAGAAATATTCATCAATGTTTCTCCACACAAAGAGGTAACGGGAGAGAGCGCAAAATGATGACCTTTAAAAAATCCCTCTAATTAATTAATTATTTATTGATATGGTAATTCAACAATTTCTTAACATATAAATATAATTTTCAAAGATTTTAAGGAACATGTTCAAACGAAACAAATATATTTCCAAGAAAAACGACTTTTAAAAAAGTAGCTAAAGGTGGCGGAATTTGTTTTTCAATTAATTTCTGACAGCAAAGAGAGCAAAATCACTCAGTAGGACGAGCAGGTTTTTGCGACAAAAAATGAGCTTACTCTTTTGCTAGAGGATGTTTTCCTTTTTGTCAACAGGAAAATGATTTACTTAAAAGAGGAAAAACAAGAAAAATAGGTACTCACGACAATTGTGCATATATATGTCTGTTTGTGTGTGTACGCATTTGGGTATCAAAAATGCCACAAACAAACTGTTCAAAAAACATTTCTTGCCTGCCACAGAATTTTGATTCAGCAATTGAAACGCTGTGCAGAATTTCCTTGTTTTCTTGAGCAATTAAAAACAATAATAATAATAATAATCCGTTTCCCGAAATTTGATCAATAATAGTAATCATTAATCAAATGCTGAATAGTTTAAGTACTTCAAAAGATAGGCAATTATTTGTGATTAAACTGAATACAAATTCATATTAGAATAAGCTTCTTAACTGTGCTCTCAACTTTGGATAATTGCACTCTGACACCAATAGTTGGAATTACAGCTATCGTTTTAGAGTTATGAGGAAAATATTTCCGATTCCCATATTTGTGTATGGACAAACTGAATCATTGTATGGCGAAGATCCAAAATTTATCAAAGCGACAAGTATAATAATTATTAGTCGAATTATTGGAATTAAGCAAAAACATTGGGAATGAATACCCTTTGTCATTCACAGTATCGCGCGATAGCAATAAAAACTATAAAGTTTTAATAACTAGGAATTAAAAATGAAATTACCATTTCAGTCAGAAGTGATTTGCCAAATAATAGCGTTAAACTCCTCTCTGATATCAAAAACATCTTGGCTTTATAAAGTTCAAAATCAATTCTCACTATAAAGCTTCTCCAGATACTGATCCTTTAATAATTAAGGAACATTTCAGTGAGTTAATCCTTCCTTCAGCTACTTGAAGTTCCCGAAGTGGATATGTCAAAATTAGATTAAAATCTTGTTTTTACAATAAATTTCGATGGATTAGGCATGTGTCAGATTTTTTTTTCACGACAAAATTACAATTATCTTGTCACTTTTAAAGTGCTCGATGACTAAGCTGAATCGGTGCCCAGAAATTACTTCTAAAATTTGTTTAATCGACTATGCAAATCTATGAAATGATTTTTACAATTTAGGAAATTATCAATTAAAAATGAATGTCTGCTAACAGTACATAGTGCTTGTTAATAATACTTTCTTTCCGAACTTTCCCACAAATCATGTCACTTTTCCTTGTTTTGCATCAAAACGATTCTTTTTCAAAACCATTCATTTTCTGACATTATTTTTTATAAATTATTATCATGAAGAAAGCTCACAAGTTGATATTCAAAGCTGATAAAATGAAGGTGACAATAAGAGGCAATCGGAATTTGTTTCATTTCAATTTAATAAATTATTTATTGCATACCAAAAATAAAATGAAAATATATTTGCTATTTTTCAGTGGCTTAAAATGAACTTTATTTTAGTTTTGTTTGGAAGGAAGACAAAGATGGCTCAAGCAGGCTACTTTAAAACTAACAATATTTATAAGTTGTAAGAGATTTTATTAACTTGAAGTCCAAGAGTTAAACTAATGACAAGAAATTCCAAAAAAGAAAAAATTAAAAGATCCATGAAAACTCCCAATGAATTTAAAACATTTCGAAGTAAAATACGAAAGTCAAAGAACCAGTCGTCCTAAAAAACAAACACAAATAAAATCGTTCCAGTTAAAAAGTAACAGACTAAATCAATCATATTCCTGAATATTATATGGCCATAAAATCTTTACTAGACAAGCATGCTATGATATAATATAATCCAAGAACGATTTGACGCAATATCTAAGCGGTCAGCTTTTGAATTGTCTGAAAAAAGAACTTCCAAATTGT